TCATCATATAATGAGAGAAGTTTGTGAAAATATTATTTTTTCCAAAATGCTAAATGTTCTTCATCTAGTTTTTGATATTCACTCATATATTTTTTCGAGTAATCACTAAGATTTCTAATGTTACAAAGTTTTAATTTTGACAGTATGTATTAAGCTTCACTATTTGGATCGGTTTCATCCATTCTGCACAAAATTCATTTTCAAGATCAGAGTTAGACCTTTAAGTAAATCTGGAATAATGGTGATTTGATTTAAGAGATTCCTTTTTTGGGTTTTTCCTAATTCTGAATTTTTTCATTTTTTGAGAAATTGAAGAACATCACCTTGTCATGTACCATAAAAATAATTTAAAATTTTCTTTTGTCCAATTGTCTTTGTAGTGGGTTACTACTATAGACATTAATTATGCCCAATCATGTATGATTTTTTCATATTTTGATATGAGAGATTTTGACAGATCTAGATATGTTCCACCTATCGCCACATTTCTCTTGTTTAGAAAATCTATTGAATTATTAGAACTCTGGGATGTTTGCCCTAGTTCTATTTGTTTTATCTCATCTTTGGTTAGAAGAGATGGTTGATGTTGTTCTAGAATGTCTGGATTAGACATATCTAGAAATCTTAATAAATCATCAGTTTCTGAGTTAGAAACTTTACCAATTTCTTTTACCATGATCCAATGTTTGTGGATTAGGTTTTTCTTCTTCTGTTTGTTCAGAAGTTTCTGACTCTGTATCTGTGTTAGATACTTCATCTTTCACTACTGGATTAATAGCTAAGATATCGTCAAAATTATCATCAATGCTTTCATCACTAGTTTCTTCTGTTGTATCATAATTAAGCATATAATGATAATTAAATTTTTTGAAGAGTGCTTTATGTGTTTCATAAAATTTTTCAATCATTTGTAAATATTCAATTCTATTTTGAGGATCATCAGCTTTTTCCATTTTGTTTTTCAAATGTTCAGTTAAGCTTTTATAAGATTTAAAGTCCAATTTCTCTTGTTTAGAGAATTTGGTTGGTTTTAAACATGATGAAGGTTTTTCATCATTTAAAATCATAATAGTATTTCCATAATATAAAGGTCCTAAAGTATTAATTGAAGATTTTTGCTCTACTAAACTATCTATTTTATTTTCAATTTTATCAATTTTTACAAATAGTTTTTTAAAGAAAGAAGATGATAAATCAACAAAACCATTTATACTATGACTTATAGCTTGGGGTTGTAATTCTAAAGATGGTTTTATGTGCAAACTATGATTATAAAATTCATCTGGGCAAATACAGTTATTTTCTTCAACTTGATCCATGTTTTTGGTGCTTAAAACCATCTTTCTTTCATTAAAAGTTTCACAAAAGCCAGTGAACAAGCTTAAAAAGCACAAATACCAGCAACAAGAAAATTTCGATTCAGCCATAGTTAATCAACAAGCAAATAAGAATATATAAAAAATTTAAAATTTAGTTCAATTAATTTATACGATCATTATTAAATAATAATATTTAATAAATTTAAAATTCAAATTTTAACATCTATATATAATTCTTTTTCAAATTTTAAGATTGCGACGTTTTATATTTAAAAAAGTTAAAATACAAAAAAAAAAAAAAAGGATGTGTGAATTTCATGACTAATGGCTATGGATTGGCGAGCGGGGGCACATGGGCTGGTGGTCTCAGGCCATGTGATGTTTTTGACGTTTGGATAGATGAATCATAGCCTACACATATAATATATGATGGGTGTAAAGACTATAGACGTTTTTTATTATTAAATCAGAGAAAAGAAACTAACATGATTTAATAAACAATGCATTATTTGGATAATTAAATCGTTACTTACTTAAGAATATTGAGAGAGATTTTAGAGCCTTTGCTTTAAAGTGAACAAGAAATTAAAACAAGCGGTAACTATAAGAGATGTTTGACAAGACACATATATGAAAGCAAAGTATAAACCAATTATGTTAAATATCATATTCTTGAATTTAATTTAATTTATTAAATTTAAAAAATAATTGTATAAACCAATTATGTTAAATAGCATATTTTTGAATGACAATTTTAAATAAAGCAAGATTCTTGAAGGCAATAATTGTAGATGATAAAGTGGTCTTATCCATGTAACAATATTGCAGAAAGGTGAGATCATCTCATGCATGCATTGTGCCTGCTATCATTTCTTTTCACGACTATTATATATATGCTCAGCGAACTTGGAAAAATTATTGTAGCTTATGACAAAAGAAAACTAAAGACTGGCTATGTATCTAACGAAAAGAAAATGAAAAAAAATGAAGGAAAATTAATGGCTGAGAATGACTTGCCACATACGTGACTTTGAGCATTAGCAAAAGACCTGTTAAGTGGATTAAGAATATTGCTACATAGTGCTGAATTGGTGATAGGAAAGATTGGAGTTTGCCTTTTGTAGTCACCAACTCACCCCTTCTTCACGTTGTCTATCTGAAACTTGGCCATCGACGGCTTCAGATACCCTGAGAATAGGAATCAAAGGCTTAGATTTTGAGCTCGATCGAAAATGAAGGATCCACCACATGCATGGGGCAGCTGGGAAGGAATTTTTAAGGGAACAAAGCTCACATGGGAGAATGTGTGCCTTCCCTACAGAAAGGGCGACCATTCACCAATTTCACGTACGGTACGGACCTCCGTCTGTCCACTATTCACTCCAAGTTCCAAAACAACCAACAGCCCGAAATGTTAAGGCAAAGAATTTGATTGTAATAAGACTCAACAATTATATATATATATATATAATTTTATTTCAATGCAGCGTTGCCTTCTCCATCGCAACTTTAATTTGCAAGTCCCCACTTCCATATTGCATGTGCTTTGCTTCAGAATATTCAGAGTTTCATTTTTTTTTTATTTCAATGAAAGAGTTTTTGTTTAAGTACATATTAAACTTAATCTAAAATATTATTTGATATCGCCACTTATTAGCATAAAACCCATAATTTAATAAGAATGTTAGTGTATTTTAATATAATATTTAATTCAATTAATTTATATAATTATTTTTAAAAAATAATATTTAATAAATTTAAAATTTAAAGTACAGTGTATACAATTTTTTCTCTTATCTTTAGGTTATAATATCTTTTAATATTTTAAAAAATAAATGTTAGTGTACTTTTTCAACATTAATTATTTTTTGAAACTATAAAACATAATATATTTCTAAGTTGTGTTCTGACTATACATATGTTGTACTGACCATATGTACAGTTATCTCTTAACCAATTGCAAGGATTAAGAAAAGGAAAAGCAGCGGGCATTGGAATGCTAGCTGAATTGACATGGTTGTAATTGCCTTTGGATCGATATCTTATAATTTATTCTAAGATAAGCAAATAAAGCACATGCTATAGCAGTAAACATTTCACCTATAATTTTTTTAGTATAATCTTATCATTAATTAATCATAACAAAAAATTATGTAAAAATTTATTATTTAAAATATGAATTTTACGTAATTTTTTATAAATTTTACATAATATTAAATTATCATTAATTAATTATATTATAATAATTATAAATAATATATTCTTATTACAGCACGTGGCTGAGCAGCTTTGAAACTCATCCTCTATCTATCCATTCACGGACAGATCTAACTGTAAGAGATAGGAAATTAAATTCTGACACCCATAATATTAATGAGTGTATGAATAATTTATGCATCAAAGTTGACAAAGCAGAGAGGATTTTCTTGATGTGGGTAAAAAGAGGAAAATGAAAGCTACAACAGCATTTAAAAAAAAAAAAAAAAAAAGGTCTTCCAAATGAATTTATTGATGTCAGCTAAAATTTAAGGGGAGGAGTTGGAGTTGTCTAACTCTATACATTATTTTTTTCTTAAAGCACAGTATTATTATTACATGGTGATTATATCATTATGGTCATGGCGGGTATAGGTTTTTTTTTTTTTTTTACATCATGATGATAAAATTTTAATATAAATAAAAAAAAGATTTGATTCAAAATTAAATTTTTCATATTTTCTTAAGCGTCTTTAATAGTTAGAGTTAGAAGAAGTGAAATGAGACTTAAAAATGGATTAATTTATTCTTCATTTTAGTAAAACTTTTTATGGCACAATTATATCATTTTGAAATTAAAATTTAAAATTTATAATAATATTATGACACAATGAAAATCTATCACGCCAACCCTTACAAATTAGGCTTTAATCTGTAATAAATTTATTATCGACAGATTGATCGAGTTAAAATATTTCAGGTGATTATTCAAAATTAGATTAATTTACGTGGTGAAAAATGATCATGACCAGACCTGATTGGACGACCCTTAAATAAAAGCAAGAAAAAAAAAAGAGATTTTTGAGGGAAATTGTATGCGACATAAGTTACGTGTGATGGAGAAAGAAAGAAAGGGGGAAATTTGTCTTCACATTTGAAGTTTGGAAATCAAGAGCGACAATAATGTGAAATTGAGAGAGTGTCGGTGTACGTAGTTAAAATGATTTAATTGGATTAAATTTCGGATTTAATTTTATAATTTTAATTTAATTAATTTTTTTTTTACTTTAATATTGTGTATTACGTAGCCAAAAATAGTTAATTCAATAATTAATTAAAATATCATTTATATTTTATACGAGTGAATGAACAATTACAGTTCTCCTCGTAACTAAATTCACCATTCATTTATCATAAGCACAAAAGGGAAAACAAAACAAAAGAATGGTTCAAGATATAAGTATTGGGTAATGAATTACAAGATTTGTAACACAAGATGTGTTACATTGAAGGTAAATTACGAGTAATTGGGTTGTTAATTAATACTAGATATGCTTAAAAGATCCCAAATTACCTAGTGAAATAAAGTTATTATAAGTATAAGGTGAAAATAAGATTTAATAGTTCACAAATCATGTGGGATTGAAGCAATTGTCCTTTTAAAAAAAATTAATTAGAGTCATGGAATATGAACATATATGCAAACCAAAATGGGGAGATTGAGCGGCTAACTGCTCAAACTACCAGACTGCTGGGACCCTTTCAAGGGCAAGAGTGGGCAGTTATTTATTAAAAAAAAAAAAACCCTATTATAATACCAGCTTGCTTATTCCCTTTATAAAAACCCCTCTTGTTTCTCTCAGTTTCTCAGGCCTAAATGGCAATTCCATTATTCCATTTTGTACTGATCTTGCCTTTCCTGGCTTCCACCTCCATTTTCTCCTCACCAGTTCAAGATCCCGAGCAAGTAGTACAACAAGTCAATCAGTACGTATTAATTTCATATACCGTATTTATTAATTGAATATGTGTCACATATTTTCTTTAATTTCCATGTGTTATTATATGCAGGAGCATCAGGAATGCCACTATTGCTAGGAGAAACCTGGGATTTCTCTCATGTGGAACCGGCAACCCCATTGATGACTGCTGGCGGTGCGACCCTTATTGGGAAAAGAACCGTCAGAGGCTAGCTGATTGTGCCATTGGGTTCGGCAAGCATGCCATTGGTGGCAGGGATGGGAAAATATATGTGGTGAGCGACCCAAGTGACCGTGACCCTGTCAACCCCAAACCTGGCACTCTTAGGCATGCTGTTATCCAAGATGAACCTTTATGGATCATTTTTGCTCGTGACATGGTGATCAAACTGAAGGAAGAATTGCTCATGAACTCATTCAAGACCATCGACGGCCGAGGCGCCAACGTTCACATTGCCGGCGGGCCATGCATTACTGTACAGTACGTGACCAACGTTATAATTCATGGGATTAACATTCATGATTGCAAGAGAGGAGGGAATGCTTATGTGAGGGACTCCCCTAGCCATTACGGTTGGAGGACTACATCGGACGGTGATGGGGTGTCTATATTTGGAGGCAGCCACGTTTGGGTGGACCATTGCTCTTTGTCTAATTGCAATGATGGTCTGATTGATGCCATTCATGGTTCCACAGCCATCACCATTTCTAACAGTTACATGACCCATCATAACAAGGTCATGCTGTTGGGCCACAGCGACTCTTACAAACAGGACAAGAACATGCAAGTCACCATTGCCTTCAACCACTTTGGAGAAGGGCTTGTGCAAAGAATGCCTAGGTAATAAATTAATTGAGTCAAACATTAGCCTTAGCCATTTTTATAATCGTTTTCCCTTTTCAACTTGTATATATATACAGATGCAGGCAAGGATATTTTCACGTGGTGAACAATGACTACACGCATTGGGAAATGTATGCAATCGGCGGCAGTGCTGATCCCACAATCAACAGTCAGGGCAATAGATTTCTTGCACCAGATAACGTAAACAACAAAGAGGTCAGAACAAATCCAAGATAGAAATTAGAAAATGTAATTAGTTAGTAAGCTTTAAACAGACATCATATGGTACAAAATTCAGGTGACTAAACATGAGGATGCGCCGCAAAGCCAATGGAAGCACTGGAATTGGAGGTCGGAAGGGGATTTGATGTTGAATGGAGCATTCTTCACCCCGTCTGGCACCGGAGCCTCTTCTAGTTATGCCAAGGCATCGAGCTTGGGTGCGAGACCGTCGTCACTGGTGAGCTCACTCACAGCAGGAGCTGGTGCACTCGTTTGCAAGAAGGCGTCGCGCTGCTAGCTAAGCTAGCTAGCTAGGCAAAGTAATAAAAAAAGAAAAGATAAAAATTGAAACATGAAAGATGGAAGCAACAAATAAGGCCAAATTGTAATTAAAAGAATCAGGATTCATGTTTCTGTTTATTGGTAATTTTTGTAATTTTGAATTGGATAATGTATACAACTATAAGATTTTAATCAGCCTGTTTCTGTGAATGATAAATTGAATGTTCAATTCAATCAATCAATGAAATTAGTCATCGTTATACATCAAAATTTTATCTCTTTTCCACGTACCGAATGTGGTTTTCCTCACATGGGGTGGTACAGTAACAGTAGGCAGTGGGGGTGTGAATTGAAGTTGGTGCAAGGAAAACAAAAAGGCTTTGTTTGTGCCTATTGATTGCGACTGTCCGTTGGCTCCCTTGACAAAGTTGTAAGCTTGGCAGCCTCGGTCTTGGTGCCTTTCTTTTATCAAATAAATTTTTGGTGGCTAGGAAATTAGGAATGCTTCATCCACCATTATTCACTTCGACCGACAGCCAATTCACGAGTCTACTATTAAAGCTCCTGTCTCCGACAATTCCAGATGCCATAAATGACACCCACCTATCCCCAATCGTTTCCATCCCATCCATAAATAGCAAATGAAAGATTGGTAGTTTTTTTTGGTCCCTTTTTTTTAATGAAAGATTGTTATCTTATTATCATACACAATGTATTTAATCCAAACCGCAAATCTTCTGGTTTTAAGGTCCAAACAAAGAAACTACGGACCTTGGGGTGGTATTTCATTCATTTTAGACTTCATATCTTTTAAGCAAGCTATAGGCCACGTGACACAATGTGAGGGAGACAGTGCTTTCTTTCCTTTTTCTTTTCGGTATACCTCGTTCGGTTTATTAAATAATTGTTTATTGATAAGTTTTTTATTAATAAAAAAGATTGTAGCTTGCAGATACGAGTAAGAATAATGAATTTTAAATTTTAAATTTGTTTAATGATATTTTTTAAAAATAATTAGATTAATCAATTAAACTAAAATTCAAAATTTTATGAATAAATTTATAGGGATAAATTGTTTTGATGCTTGCTCATTGGTAAAATTGATATGCTTTTGATTTTTTTTTTTTTTTACTTCTTAAAAAATGGTAATTACGATATGAAAATGACATGGTTTTGAGGCGTGAAAAATGAGAGGGAATATGACAAATTGTGCAAAACGGGATTTTGCGGGTAGCTACAATGAGAAGAGTCCGAAGATGCCCAAGCACAGAAGTCAAGCAATGAGCAAGACCCCAGCTAGGAAGAACACAGTAAAACAGGGAAAAGAAAAAGCAAATTCACAGCACCTGAGCATGCGGGTCAATATCCAATATATCAGAGGGAAACAATCAAAATTCAAATTACACATTAACTAAGCACTTTGTTGTCCAGGATTTTTACATCCATGAGAAATACTACCCCATGATTCCTAGGTGATTGAAAAAGTAACTAAAGAAATAAGCAACCACATCAACTAGAATAGTGATCATTCTACCAACCATGGGACTGGCGGTTCAAACATGTTTCTCTCAAGTGAATCATACACAACCATCAAAATAGCGTTACCTCTGGCTGAAGCAGTTTTACATTAAACCTCAGTAGTAAGATGGGGAAATGACATCATCAATCTTCAAAATCATCTTAACAACTTGTGTTGCCAGCAAGATCTGCTGCTGCTTCCCAATCAGCGTCTCAAAGACATTTTGCTCACACATATCATTAGTCCCAACATCATTGCAATCTATTCCAAAGTGAGGATTATTCTCCTGCACATCAGATATAGAAACAAAATTAATGATAATAATCCACAATGGTGAGATTATACAAGACCAAAGTCATCATCATACTAACTAGCAAATACCTTAATTTGCTGAGATTTCACTGCTGATAGTGTCTCGATGGGCTGGAGCCCACTATTTTCAGCCAGGGCCATGGGGATAGCATCTAAAGCATCTGCAAATGCCCGGATTGCATACTGCAGATAAAAGAAAATTAATATAAAATCTAATTACTCTTGCAAAAAAGAAATACTACAATATTTAGATGATTAAATGTGCTTCTTACCTGCTCTACTCCCGGATATTTATCTGCAGCTGTCTCTACAGCAACTGAGCAAGAAATCTCAGCTGAGCCACCACCATAGACTATAGAATTGTTACGAATCAGATTCCTGGCCACACACAATGCATCATGGATGCTGCGTTTTGTCTCCTCTATCATCATCTTGTTTCCTAATGCATCATTAAACACAAAGGAATACTTTCCATGAGATATATATGCCTAATCCATCTCAATTCAGCTTAGTGCATTGCACTTTGATATTCTACCGTTTGTTACTTTTGTCTCTCTACAACATTATAAGAGCAAACCCATGCAGGCTATGTGTTATAATAAACATATGCAACTGGCCAACCAGTTCTGCGTTGGCCAGGACAAAGATGTCCAAACATCTCAAAACAAGAATGCGGTGGAATGCATTCCAAGAAAATTGAAGAAGCATCTTGGCGTGTGTCCAGGTGTCAAATAAGTTTATCCTTCCATTACTCTTCCATCAAGTCATTTTCCTATTGTTCATTTGTTTTTAAAGTTAGATGGTAAAAAGAGCTTTGCTTCAAAACTGATACTGATGAGCCTCTACCACCTAGACTAGGCGACATTCGTTATAACCAGCAATTTAGGAACAGAAATTAAACACAAGTAATTCACTGAGTAGACCAAGTGCTAAGGATTAAGCCAATTAGGGATACAAAATCCAATCACAATGTCATGAACCCTCATTGTCAATAGCTCCCATTCTGATGACCAAATAAAGATGACTTGTTATTATCAATTGAACATAGTGCAATAAGACAACTCATTTGCAACCAAATATAACAAAGGGAAAGAATCTACCTCCACGAATAAATATGGTTACAGCCCTTGAATTTGCACAGTGTTCAATGTACAACATTTTATCCTTTGTGGTGCCAAAAGACTTCTCTCTGACCAAACCGGCCTAAAAAATAGAATGAAAGAACAAATAAGTGTTTCCTGTAAGATACAGATGCAATGCCAGGGGACTAAGCTGATAATTTAAAATGAAGAAACTTCATCAAACATGAATTGCCAGTCCAAACGAGCAATGCTCTAGTGCTTGCTTAAACTAAGAGCCATTAAATGTCAAATCATCTCACTTGAGCTTCACCAGTTGTCGTCTATCTAATGCATGAAAAAATTTCCAAGAAAGGAATTTATCTGGCACACATTGCCAAGCAATGAAAGATAGACAAGGAAAGAATGGAGCAAAACATACCCTTCCCAGCTTTTCGGGGGTCAACTCCTGGAACCTTGGCACAATCCTTCCACCTGTAAAGATAAATACAATTAGATTGCCCATTGCTGAAAAAGTTGAACACCCTATTAGCAGCTAAATATTTATCCATCAAGAATTTAGCTAGCATGACATCAAAAGAATATAGACTAGATATAAACAAACCGGTAGCTATTGCTATGAGCTCCAATTCCACACCACCAACCCATCTAACAGCAGGCAAATTCCGGTGCATTAATAAATGATTTGCCTCATCATCAAACCCCCATTGACAGATAACCAAGGTGGCACCAACATCCTGCAACAACATTATTATCAGAACAGGTTGTCTACCCCAAAATTACAAAGGTGGGTCATAACAATAATCCACCCCCTCTCTCACCAAAGAGAATAATCTAAAGCAAGAGAGAATGTGAAAGATCAACTTGGAAATTGAAAACTATATTCCTCAAAACTCCAACATGCGGCCATACCTTGCACTTTTGGACCATGTCATCAAAATACTTTTGCTCTTGCTGGCGCAAAGTCTGAAACTTTTCCACTGTATCAATCTCTACCTTATGTTTAGTCTTTGGCTTAGGCGGCTCAAATGGGCAAGTTAATATCGCAATTTTTGCATCTTCAATTTTCTTTGGCATCTGTGGATGACTCATGTCCTTGTCAACAGTGATTCCATATATTAGCTCAGTATCTTCCAATTTTCCTCCAACTTTCCCCTCAACCTTAATCAGATCTAAATTGACATCTTTCCTCTCCAGATCAGCAACAGAAAGAACTGCTTTAACAGAAATCTCAGCCAAAGCACACTTGCATCGGTTCACACTGCAAAACAATGAAAAATGGTTACACATGCACAATACACAAAATATTCAACATAACTCAGTCTAGCATTACATTCACATATTTATCACTCTGAACATTTTGCCTTAAATTCCAATATTAGGAGTTTCACTTCTCAATACTATCATGTTTATGAACTGCTAGCTGGTGGCAAGAGCTATTTTAATTGAGTCAAGTGCCACCCAATTCAGATGGTTCAACACTCCACCATAAAAACCTTAGCCACAGCCAAACAAGCCCAGACTATTTCTGTTTTGCAAACATCACAACAAGTCAAAATTGTAATTTGACTTGAGGTCCATTTAAGAAAAATTATAAGGGGAAGATGTAGCCAAAAGGACTACATATCAAGATTAACCAATACCTTAGCAAGTTAAGCATTTAACTAACATTTAAGGTAAGGCTCCGTTTGTTTCGCCAAAAATGACTTCTGGAAAATGATTTTCACATTTTCAGGTGTTTGTTTGGCAAAAAATTGGCTGGTCAATGGAAAATGAGACTATTTTTCTGAAAATTGTCTTATGGCTTTGAAAAGGGGAAGACATTTTCCTAAAAAAAAGTCTATGAGTAAAACTATTTATTAATATTTTTGAGCATAATTTTACTTATAAATAATATTATATTAATAAATAAATAATATAAAGAATAATAAATAGTTTTACTTTAAGTATTTTTTATATTAACATAATATTTTAATATTAAATATTATTATTAAAATATAATTATTTTTTAATATTAATAATTTTAATAATAAATGATTTAAATATATTTTAATACTAAATATATTTTTATAATTTTATATTATATTAATATTATTTGAAAAAAAAATTCAGAAAATAACCAAACAAACATTTTTTATTAACTCATCCAAACAATAAAAAATTTCTTTCAATTCAAAAAATGTAAATATTTTCTAAAAATAATTTTTTGGAAATCATTTTTTGCGAAACAAACAAAGCCTAAGTTTGGAACTAGAGGTGCAATTGCCAGAAAATTTTGTGCCAATCAATTTTTAACACCCATTTGGATTTCAATGCAGCAGCACGTTTGAAGAATTTAAGCTGCTTTTGCCCACTGATGGTTTAGCTCAGGTGAAGAAACGCCAGTCTTCATCCCTTTCTTTTTCCATTTTTATCCTTCATTTTATATATATTTTAACTTTTCCTTTTTCTATTTTTATTTAAAATTACAAAATAACTTTATTAATTCATTATAATAAATAAAATTTATTATTGTATTATGAATTAATAAAATAAATAAACAAAAATGTATTATTATATAATAAACTATTATTTTATTAAATTTTAATTATTTATTTACAAAATTATATAAATATTAAATAGTTTAAAATTTTTATTACATACAAATATTAATCTCATATCCTTAATGGTCATTTCCTTTTTCATCACAATTCACCTCAACGCCACCATGTGTTTGCATCTAAAAACATATCCCTACCACTAATTTTTATCCTACCGCTATAGTAACTAATTTCACCTCCACCGCTATTTTCAATCTCACTGCTCTCCAAATGGACTCTTAAATGCAGCGTTCTTACCAAACACAATGTTACTACCACCTGCCATATTTATCTTACCGCTATAGTAACTAATTTCACCTCCACCGCTATTTTCAATCTCACTGCTCTCCAAATAGACTCTTAGATGCAGCGTTCTTACCAAACACAATGTTACTACCACCTGCCAGCTGTTTAACAGCTACCATGACATAATGTGCTAAAAGTGAAGCTAAATGGCATCTCTTACTGATCAAAGCATCATCTTATGTATACCTATATTCAATTGCAGACTCCTATATGATAAGAAATATATAAAGCCAATTAATTGTATTTAACATCATACTGATAGCAGCCATGATCCTCTAATCTAACATGGCAAATCCTAGTGGTGGAGATAGGATATCACAATTACCAAACATATAGGATATATGACATAAACATATGAATTAGCCCTCACACAAAAAGTACCATCTTGAAACAAATTAGACATAATTTTCTCTTTATAGCAGAGCAAAATTCAAGCAAAATTAGCCAGGGCAACATAAGAAGCTAGTATAATCCTGTTATAGCTACAACATGAATGTTTCTAGTCATGCATTATTGCGATCTGAACATTGCTAGGGACAATAGAAATTGCAACGTACAGCAATAGACCACAAAAAAAAGCTAGAAAACTTACATTTTAGAGGACAGAGTGGTCATGCAAGTTTGAACCAAAGGCTCTATATTTGTTGGTCCAAAATCAAACCTCTGAGCTATACGCTCCAAATGCTCAACAGCTATTCTAGAAGCCATTTCATAACCCTCTGCAATCCGGATGGGATGAATCCCACGTTCTAATAGCCACTCTGCTTGTTCTAGAAGTGCTCCAGCCATGACAACAACACCAGTTGTTCCATCACCAATTTCATAGTCCTGACTCCGAGACAGTTCAACCATCAACTTAGCAATTTGATTGTCAACATCCATCTGCTCCAATATTGTTGCCCCATCATTTGCTGACAATATCCAACAAAAAATAAAAAGACATCAGGAAACTTTGAATACGATCTATGTATAATTTCACTAACAAATATAACATCCTTAATTTTAACATTTACTGCCGAAATATAAACTTCAAGAAGCTATGTCCTGAAACATTAAGCTTATAACTCTAGGTCGGAAAAGTTTATCAACGGCAACTTTACCTAAACCAAAGTTTCCGGTTCAAAAACTAGTAAAGTTTAATAAAGTAACTAAAAATCCTAAAGTACCAATAAAACCTACATTTATCTTCACAAATAGCTCTCATTTCGAAGTCCATGTCAAGCAGATCCGTAACCCAAAATCATTTTTTAAAAACCTAATCGAGTAACCAGAAACTTAATGATCAAGTAAAAAAATTAGAAAAGGAAGAAATAGGTGGAAGGCAGTTAACTGATGGTGACATCGCCATCGGGACTTTGGAGCATCTTATCCATGCCCTTCGGTCCCAGAGATGTCCGGAGGATCCGAGCGACCGCTTTGCCAGCGGAAATATTGGCTTTTTGGGCTTCGATCCCTCTCAGCCTCGTTTTCTGCTCTTGCTCTTTTATTATAATGAAGGGTCTCCCGAACTCGTCGAACGCCAACGCCATTTTCTCCGAGCTTCACCGTTTCGCTGCTGATCTACGCTTCTTCTTCTTTAGCGTTTCAGTCCCTTTGAAGAGTTGGAAGTGAGAAGAAGTGTGGAAGGGTTTGAGCGAAATGTTGGCTCGCTTTTCGTTTTTCTCTGGTTTTCAAAGCCCTAACTAGTGGCTCTTTTTGTAATTTCAGACCGCTTCTTCGGCTCCATTTTTGGGCCTAATTGACTGCCGGTATATATTGGTTTGGGCCTATTAGTCAATGAATGACCCATTAAGATTTGACCGTAGTACGAGGCTTGCATTATTTTCCCTCTGCAAAATTAAAATATTAATAATTACAACCGAAACAAGTTTGTTAATTTAATTCTTCGTACCATCACCCTTAATAAGTAAAATGTAAAATTATTTTTAAAGTTTGTCAATTAATTATATATACATGCTTTTTCAATCATTAACATAGTATAATTTTTTTGTAATTAAAATTGTCAAAATTTAAACTATAATTATTGATATTAAGAATTTGACATCCTACCTACTATCAAGCAGAGTTAATTTATGCTTTTTTAGTCATTAATTATGCATAGTTTTACATTTTTTTTATTTTTTTTAAAGAAATGTATAGTTTTACATTTAAGTATATATAATATATATAGGAGCATATATATTCCAAATTTATACTTTACTAAAAAAAAACTATATATTCAAAGACTAAGACTTAAGGAGCCTTTCCAAATTTTTGGATAAACGAACTAATTACCCCACGAAACAACGAAAGAATAGCATTTGCCAAATATATTCTTCCCTGTAAATTCACGACCAAAAAAAAAAAAAATGCATGGTTTTCCTGAGTCCTCGCAAAGGGATTTACGTTCATATTCTTGTCCAATTTCTTCAATCCTATATAAATCTCTCCCTCTCCCTCCGTAATTGTGCGGTGTTCCTCTATTAAAAACAAAACAAAAGAAAAATGGCTGGCAAACTCATTGTTCTTGCTTTGGTCTTAATTGGCCTTCTCGGGTTGGTTTCCGCTGCCAATGATGCGCCTGCCAATGCCACTACTCCTAAGAGCAGCGGTACCGCATCCTCCCCCGGCAGCCAGGGAGGATCCGAGGCCGCCGCCGCACCCGGAAATGATGATGCCATTGGCAACACTGATGATGCAGGTGCACCAACTAATAGTAATGGCGGTGGTGATGAAGGTGTTGCTGTTGAAGGCCCTATCGGCAGTGAGGATGCAGCTAACTCAGCTGCTTCCTCTGCTCAGCCTCCTACCAGTGGTGCAATCACCTTTAGGGTCTCTGCGGTCGCTGGAGCTGCTGCTGCCGTCGCTGGATACTTCGTCTTCTAAACCAGTTTCGCTTAATTTTGGCAGCTTTTTGGAGTCTGAGAAAAGCTGTCTGATTGATATTTGTTGGTTTATCAATTACTTCATTTGTTTTTTGGCCAAAAAAAAAAAAGAATTACTTCATTTATTCGCACCGTAATTTGAGGTTTGCACAAGGCTGGTTTGAATCTGTTTATGAATGAAGAAATGGGAGGGGGCTGCATGAATTTTCAAGGAAAATTTTGGCATATGGTTTGCTTTCAATTTTTCAATGTTCCTTGGCTTCAATCTTTCACCTTCCATCGTACAATCCATATGGCGTATCATGTGAATATCTTTTTTCGTTTTTATTTTCCAAAACTAAAAATAATATTAAATCACGACTTCATGTAAACTTTACTAAATGTATGATCATCAACATTTGGTTCAACAGTATTTACATGTATTTTTTTTCTTTGGATTAATGTTATATATAATCTTATATTATAATGAAATATTCAATATAATATTTAAATTCTAAAAATTTTTAATATAATATTTGAATTATGAATTTATTAACTAATGTATATCTTATTTATAATATAAATAACTTTAAATAATAACAAATGATAAATAAATAACTGTTCAAATACCACATTAATTAACAGAATTATAATATAGATACTACAACAATGTTAAATATTTTTAAAATTAAAATATCACATTATATATTTTACTATAATTTAAAAGTTATTCAAAATATTATCATTTTTTTAAAATAAAAAATAACATAAAGAGTCTATAAGTATAAAGAAATTAAATTACTTGATAGCTATTCAATCTTGACTCGATAAATACTCGAGCTTAACTCATTTATTATTGAGCCGAGTGGAGTTTAAGCTAATCAAATAACAATAAGACTGAACTACTTCAAATATTTTGAAACCCTAAAAACTTGTAAGTCTAATCAAATTTTTATTTTTATAATATTTTTAATATGTTTAATATATATATATAAGTAAATAAAAATATGTATTTTAAGTCTATATTGTTAGTGTGATGTTATCTTACATTTAATAAATATCTAATTTTTTATAATCTTATTTTCAAGTTTGGTTCATTTCACGATCAATTAATTTTGAATTGGATATTTAATATGATATCAAAACTAAAATTTTCTTTTATTGCTTTTTTCTAATTTCTCATATAAAAGACCTTTTTCATTTTCGTTTTCCTTTTTATGCATGATAAAAATTGTTAATATGATATTATCCCATATCTAATAAATATTTAATTTTTTATAATCTTATATTCATGTTAAACTTCGTCACTAACAACTAATTGATTAAATTGCTTAGTATTAAACACAAAACTTGATCAAGCTTAAGCTAAATTTCGAGCAAAGCTCAAGCTTGACAAGCCATCAATTTGACTCTTTTATTATATCTCTGCAACATTAATAATCCTCACAAGAACATTGTCCTAAACTCTCAATTTAAAGCATATAATAAAAAACATATGCAAGCAGAATCTTACCATTTTTGTACATAAAACTCTAGCTCGAAATCCAATCGTACTTCGACCCTTTTTGTTCCCCTCTCTCTAGTCAGCCCACTTCATTTGAACCTCAAGTAAAACTGACAATGTTTCATTCCACGGAATGCAAAGCCTTCATTTGTACGTATGGCTAGAATGTAATGGGGGCAAGGAAAAGGCTTCTTCTCATTCCCTCACTACACAAAAATTCAAGCAAATTCAACTTTACTCAGATAACCATATAGAGGCTTGAGTAAAAAAAAATTCTCCAATTTGAGCTACGGATCTCACTTGCATAACTAAAGGGCAAGCAACCAAAGGAAAAGAGAACAAGAAAGATGCCCCATGGCCAACTTTTTTCTGCATCTGAGAAAGCATAGGCAATTCTATTTGAAAGCAGACGCAAGCCAAGACTGCCTCAAGTTCAATGCAGTCCTAAGTGAGTTGCTTTGAATATTCCATCAGTAAATGATCCTTATCAACATGATTTGCATACAATAGCAACAGAAAGGCTTTTAGAAAAATTTTGTGGATGATGCAATCTAAAACTTGTGATTTCCTTCATCCAAATCCATATCAAATAAGAAACATGACACGACGATGATATATGTATATATATTTGATTCATAGGGCAATTTGGATAATCAAATCCTTTAGTCCATGCAATCTAAATGTAGTGAGAGATAGTTATGGAAGACATTGAACCTAAAAAAAGAAGCAAAGAAACTTAACCAGATCACTAAGGAGAGGGAGGAGCAGCAAAGCAGTCTTAAACATGTACAAAAAGGACAAATTACACGGATTTACACCTTTCTCATGTTACTCCTAAAAGTCCCAATTTCCCAATACCAGATGCATTAACTTTCAAGAATAGAAATCATTACGTACAACAATAATGACTAAAAAGTGAACAAAAAATGAATAAAAAAAAGAAGAGGCCACATTCTGAAGTCCAACAAAACAAGGTATTGGAACTTTTACAGCCTTCCTCACTAGGCCATTACCACCCATAATCAGAAGTAATGGAGCTTAACAGGCTAAAACCACCTTCAAGAATGATTTGTTGCTCCTCAATACAAATAGTATAAACATGGATAAAACCATTAGATCTGATACACATTGTATGCTACATTGGTTTTCTTAAAAATGAAAAAGACAGGAAAACTTGATCTATAAAAGAGGTAATCATTACAATAACACATTAGAACCAACTTCCCAAGCTTAACTCCAACGTGCATATGACTAAAACATCATCAGCCACGATACAAACCAAACCAACCCAAAATTCTTTGCCCAGAGGCCAGAACATACAGAATGCAACAGCAAGCTATAACTTGTCACTCTTAAGCTTAACTATAAGAAAAAACTCCAGAACCCTTCCCATTTTGATGGAAACAAAATGCTTAAACATTAACTGGGAAGTACATATGTTACACTGCTGTTACAGTTGGAACAACTCCATGTTACAATTTGCATTTAGCTCATCTATGCCTATTCTAAGACAAAGCTAACATATCAAATACAAGTTTACAAAGTATGAAAAAGTATTGGCCTCAATTTCTGTACAAAACTCCTAAAAGGCTAATTAGAAAGCCAAATATGGTCATATAAACAATGAAAGAGGCCATCACAAGTTTTGGACCAAATAAACAGATTCAACTTTACAAGAAAAAAGAAAATGCTTTACAAGAAGACTGTAATGTTGGTTGTATCCTGAAACATATGACCAACATCCAATTCATGAATTCATTTGGATTTACTTTCTTTCCAGAGGTTACAGTTTCTTAGCAGTGCTAAAAAAAAAGATTTTTTGCACACTTGAAAGGCCAATGCTAATGTCAGAGGAAGCCAATGAAGCCAGCCATTCTAACACATCTTCCTCAACAAAAAGTTGTCCATTCCACTCCCTGGATGTGATGTTAAAAAGAAACCCCCATGTCAATAGATATTAAAAAGGTAAAGCAGAAAAAAGAAAAAGCCACAGACACCACCTCACAATCTACCCGCATCACTCACTACGTTAGAAAGAGCATGACATCATTTTTTAATTGTAAACAAAGTCCAATGCTACTAGGAATCCTATAGGCATGACATTCATCTCTATGAGACAACCAATTGGGCTAGTAATAAGCACATAGGCATTCAGGCTCGCATTGATATGAATATGCAGAACCTCTTTAAAAAATGGCACTAAAACAGGAAATTAAGCATTCTAGATAAAATATTGTTTTCAAACCACTTCTGTTTTGGAGGACCATTTCAAGGTTTCAACATCTCACATAGTTCAAAACTTCAGAACACTATGTCACTGACTTACTGGAGAAAGATTAGGAAACTAAAAGACAAGAAAGGAAAAACCGTAAAAAAAAGGTAGCACCATTAGAGGAGAATGAAAAAAAAAAAAAGTATACCCTAGGATTAGTGCTTTAACACAATGCCTTTTCAGCTTAACATTGACAAACATCCACAAGACTAGATTGCAACCTTTATCACAGACAAACTATGTTAAAACCTAAGAAAGAGAACCTAGAAGCCTGCAAGCCAAGCTATAGAGCTATAGAGGAAAGCTGAATAATACCTGCTCCTCATAACTGGCACAATACCATTATTTATAAAACGAAAAGGCACATTTGAATTGTGGGATGAAGATTATTTGGGTAGGATAGCATATAAGCATACATGAGATTCCAAAACTCTAACAAAATAAAAGAATATTTGATGGGGGAAAAATCAACTGAATGACCCAGTATGGGAGAAAAGGTAAAATTCTCTAACATATAGAACAACCTACCAAAAGTCAAGTTTCAAACATGCGAAAGGGGAAAAATCATACAATGATTTGGTAATGTATAATGCGTACCATTTGATATTCAGCTTCATGCATTATTCAAAAAAAATTATCTTCAATTGAAAAGCTAATATGCTTATAGAAAAAGAACAAGCAAAAAGCAAATGAGGAAGAAAGTAGCCAGAGAACATCATGAAACAAAATTGAAGCAGCAAGATAAAAGTGAAAAAAAGAGATGAGCTTCACCTCACACCATCATACACATCATCTAGCAATGTCTAAAGTTTAAGCCAAGTAAACACCGACCTACGAACCCTCCCCACTTCTAACCCCCAGAAAAAATGCACAGAAAGATCACAAGCTAGAAAGATTTCTTATCAACCAATATCACAATCTTATGACAACAAGATTTCTAACATAAAAATCCCAACATTCATATAAACAAGAAGATTTTCTATAGTATCACGACCACAAGCCAAGAAAGCATTCCCTCGAATATAGGTTTTGGCAGATAATTATAAACCCAATGCGGATGGTATCTGTAGGATGTTAGGATTCCATCCCCACAAAGAATATCCAAATTGAATATAATAGTACGTTTTTCAACACAAATATTAAGTGTTTCATCTAATATTTGTTCTTTAGAATGCAGTAAGAAAGGAAAGGGGAGTCCATTCTTCCCCACCACCCATGCAAGTAGCACTTACTTCTTCCCTTAAGAAGCCACACTCTGCATATGGACCATTGATCATCATCATGAATGCTGAAATGAATATAGCAACCAAGAGGAGAGAAACTGACAGTGAAAACTTAATTAGAGATCAGATAAAAAAATGGTAAAGAAGATGCACAGCATATTTTGTCACTCTGATGGTAGGCATCTCTTGTTCCCATAGTCCACATCCTTCGATCAATACCTGCAATCTTCTTCTGGCATCACATGGGACCTGCTGCAAGATCTTGAAGAAGATTGTCCACTATCCCAGTCATCATCATAATCCAAGTCACGATCTTGATGTTGATGCTCTCTGTAGCTGTCCTTTTCTTCCCTGTGACGTTGTTCCCTATGCTCCCTCTCAAACCTCTCCCTGTCCCATTCCTTCTCGTCACGATGCCTCCTATCAGAGTTGCCTGACCGCTCATGCTCAAAAACCCGTTCCTTTTCCCAAGAGGCACTGCTCAACCTTCCTTTTTCATGATTCGCATCCCTGTATCCATAGTCTGAAGCACCATCTTCACCACCATAACTAGACTCTCTGGTCCTGTGACCATGTTCGTCTCCTCCCCACCCAACCATACTTGTGTCAGCCCACATTCCTACATGAGGTCCATCCATTCCAGTTGAGCCCATCATTCCCATCCCGGTAGGTGCCATTCCATGGCCAAAGAAAACAGGATTGACATGAGGAGCTACACCAGCAAGTCCCATTGTATTAACGGTGGGAAATGAAGGAGGCATGCCAGGAAAACCATGTCCTGGAAAACCTCCATAACCACCTCCTCGACCCATATATGTTGGATCAAATCCAGCTCCCATCATACCCTGTGGATGTATCATGCCAGTGGCAGGACCACCAAATGCAGGTCCTGCTGGTCCTTATCCATAGGCCCCTGCACCATTAGCACCATTTCAAACTCCAGCAGAGCTCCTAACCATGTTCTTTACACCTAGAGCTCCCCTTCCTCTCATTGATCCTCCACCCCCACCTCGTCCCCAGCCACCCCTTCCATAGTTCCTTCCTGCATCTCCACTTTGGTAATTCATATTACCACCTCTTCCTAAACCATCATTTGGCCTCCTTCCTTGAGGCTGTGCTAGAGGCGGGCCCTGGTTTTTGTTCCTATAAGAAGCTCCCATCTGCTTCAATGCCTGAGATGAAGCAAAAGCCACAACACAAGCTCGCCCATTGAACATATAACCATTCATTCCCTCTTTGCATGCGGCCGCAGAAGCTGAATCATAGAACTCCACTTGACAATAACCTTTGGATTTACCACTAGCTCTCTCGTCAAAGAACTTAATCTCCTTCACCCTTCCATATTGAGATAACACACTCAAGCTCTGCATCAGTTGTCCACCAATGTAATTCTCCAATAAAGAGCATGGTTGAACCATTCTCTATAGAAGGCCCAACCTGATTTTCATTCATCCTAGGATGCTTGACATTCATACCCATTGTATTAGGAGGAACCTGTGGAGCACCTTGAGGACCAGCAGTATCCAAATTTAGAGATTGAGCAGGGGCGTTGGCAATCTTTTCAGGCACACCAGAAGGATCAATCCCAACCTTCTGGGATGCTGAATTTAATCCTTGAAAACCTACTTGAGCATCATGGCTCACCCCCATAACACTGCCCATTTGAGAAATGGTAGATCCAGATGGATAACTCCCAGATCCTATTTCTGGTCTGTTAACAGCTGGCTGCCCCTCCTGCCCAGGATAACGGGCACTAACATTGGGGTACTTTCCTTGAGCTGATATTCCTGGGATGTTTAGCCCTTGTAAACCCCCAGCTTCACCTCTCGGCTCAGGTACCTCATTTTTCTGAGCTTGAAGTCCAGTACTGCCCATGCCACCTGGTTGCGGTTTTGCCTCAGACTGTTGCAACTGAAGAAAACCTTCTCCAACATTAACATCATTGTAGAGATCATCATATTCATCATCCTCCCCAATCATCTCTTCATCTGCAAGAGCAGGTATGGTTCCACTTCCCTGATACTGTGTCTTTTGTGCGCCTCCATACTCTTCATCTTCAAAATCTATTTGTTCTTCGGCCATTGCCTCCATATAATCTGACTAATACGCACCGAAAGAGAAAAAATCATTCCCAACTCCAACCGTATGAAGCCAAAGGCACCACAAAGAAAAAAGTAACTGTAAACCTTAGATCAAATATGTAGAGAATGCAAGTATTCCAGTATGAGTGTAACTGAAACGGAAAAGAAATCCAGACTCCAAGGATAATTTTTAGTAGCATATTTACATTAACCATAGATCTTAAGAATATTGAAAACAAAGAAATAAAAAATAATTGAACCCGTAGCAAATGAAAACAGCAGTGAGATAAAAAATAGAGAGAGATCTAGTAACCACACATTAAAATAAAGAATTAAAAGTTCCATGATAAACATGATAGAAAAGGCAACAACACGTAAACTTACCAAAATGCATTGTCAAAGTATCCAGATAAAAGCCCTACTTCGTCAAATCATAGAAACGAATGAAGAAGTAGAAGGTACATCGAAAACACCCAACTGGATAAAACCATTGAAAAAAAACCAAACACCCAAGTCGTAGAATGTCATAAAACAGATAAATTTCAATTACCCAGTTCTTAAAGCCCAAGGAACCAACCATGATAGAAAACCAAAAAGGGAAACGATAACAAAATCAGTAAAGGGAAGGGGAAAATTAAGAAGACCCTCCAGCAGCAATCAACTTCGGAACATTGCAACAAAAGAGAAACAAAGAAATCCAGAGTTTAGAAATAGTCGTCGAAGAAAGCAAGATGACTATTTATAATAAGGAACGAAGTTGGATCAGACAAACAGGAAAGATGGGTTTACCTTTTTCACCATCTCCAAGCTTTCCTACTGCTATAAGTATCCATACGTACCACGTAGCTAAGAAGGTTCGTAAGACATGTAAATCGAGAGTTCAAATCTCATCGTTCTCATTTATTAACCTTTTCCAATGAAAAAAATATTTTTTATTTAATCAACTGTGTATATATATATATATTGGTTTAGCTAGATTAATTTTCTGGGTTAATGAATTTTGTTTTAGAGTTTTTGACTTCCTGCCCCATGTTTTTGAATGGATTCAAACATATTTATTTACATGAAATGGAATAAATTTATAAAAAAATTATCTTTTTTTTTTCTTCCTTTTAATATAAATTCTGAAATAATTAAAATTATAACAAACTCCATTTACCATGAGCCAAATTCAAACAACTTCACTTAAATAGTGTGTGAGCTTTGGATTCGTAACATCTGATACAGAACTATTGAAATCAAGAGTTCAAATGTTTAGGACTACTACCACCAATACCCTTTTTTCCCATTTGGTGTCGAGTAACTCCAAAAATTAATCTCGGAAAAGCTTGGAAAGAATAAAGCCCATGTAGGAAATCATCCTAATTGTTGTAAAATGTACCTATTGTTCACACTACTAGTCAAATTAAAAGTAACCCATATTTGAAAATTTGCTAATTTTGATCAATATTACACAAAAGATTAATACCAATTGCAAAATGTCACAAAAACAAATTTCTGACTCAAAATTTGTCCTACAATCTTGCTTTCTGACAGAAAATGTACTAGTGGAACAAAAGTACAGAATCACCATCGGAGTTTGCCGCTGCTCCCACCAAAAAACAACCAACCACCCTACTTCGGCCAACTCCAAGAAGAGAAAAAAATTTTGTAAAAAATCCCCATCACATCCTAAGTAAGCTGAACACTAAAAATGCAATTCAGCTAAGCAATATTTTTTTTCAACTATTTGATACTCCATTTGATCCGTAAGTGTTGGCAGGGCCAGCTGGCAACAAATTTGACTGCATTGTATAGGCTGTTGTGAGGACCCTTTGCTCCTGATTAAAGAATGAATGTAAGAACTTTCCCTTTTTGACTGGTGGCTACCATGTTTGCACCACCTCGTACAACCAATAAACATGAGCACCCAGCAAACAGGGAACATCGGAAGTAAGGTGATGTGCATGATGGAGGTGGCAATAGCAAGTCATCCACTTGAGCATCATCGGAGAATGCTTTTTAAATAATCAGCTGAAAATGGATATTTGCCTCAATACATCCCCTTAAAAACAGGATTTGTGCGGCAAATGCTTGCTCCATATTCCTCATATTCTGCTTTTGTATGACATGCCTGCAAATGAAGGAGGTCAGGACTCGGGAGACTTTCAGCCAAAATCCAAATTTTAGTGCTTAAGATTAAGAAGCACAAGGCAACAGTAATGGCAGGTGCATCAGGCAATTGACATATCAACCAAGGCAAGAACATCGGCTGACAAAAGCAAGAGAGGAGTATGAGTTTAGAAGTGGAGATTCATACCGCAAAAAATTCAGGTGTTGATGCAAGTACAGATCCTCCAAACCAAACTGCAAATCTTTGGATAGGATGACTGACTACATTAACTTCCACAGGTTGTGCCTGGTAGGTGAAGTCCCATAAGGAGATTAGCACTTCGCTTTTGCAAAATGTTAATGAGATGAAAACACAAGCACTAAAATGCTTACTTTTACTTCCCCACCATGCCGAGCATCAGATGCAAGGACTCGGGCATCCACAATCTTTTTCAGATCCCGCTGCAACCTTCTGTGGAAGTCTTTGAACATGGTTGATCCACCAGATAACACTATATTCTGAAAAGAGCTAAAATAGTGAGTGTAAAAATTCTTATACCAATATATGAAAAAACATGTGAAAATTTCCTTTTCCTCTTTTCAATTCATTCATCAGTCTATGTATTTAACTGCAAGCTTCATTTGCTTTTTGGTCATTATCAAGAATGTAACCAACAGTCAGCACAGCAAGTACCAATATCTTGCAACTAGGCTAAGAATTTATAGCGGTAAAAAGTTTGGAATCAAACATCTGACTTTAAATATAGATTAGTACCAGATCAGGTTTGAGAAAACAAATTCTAATAAACTCATGAGTACAGAAGACATTGATGCAAGAGCTTAATGTAAAATAACCGACATTGCCGAGAACTTAATCCTTGAAAATTAAATTAAAAACTGACAGTTGATCTAAGAATCCATCAAGAAGCAAAGTGCATGACTACCAGTTCAAACCTTAATCAGTACATCTCAACCTTCAAATACTTTCTAGTTTTTTCATTTAGATTTATCTTAGCTAAGAACCAAAGTTTGCAATCTGCTTTTCTTTTAGTTGTGAGCCTATGCATACTTCACCTTATACAAAGCTCTTCTTGTGTCAATTGGTGCTGACTGAATGCACTTATCTATTACATCTGGTAAAGGAGTTGCAAAATCACTGCTATAGATCTCAGGACTAAAGAAAACCTGTCAAACCAACCATAGGAAAAACATCAGCAACAAGAAATCATTTCTTGAAAAACAAAGTGTAACATCAACTAACTAGTTGCATCACCAAAGTAGGAAAATGCCACGTAAACAGCAATGGGAAATCAAGAAAAATTTAACTAGATAGCTCAATATGCTACAATTATGTTTCCATTGCTGCAAGTTGACTTTAAATATTCAAGAAAATATAATTTGTTGGTCTACACCAATATATTGTTGGCAAGAGCATGGCTAGGGCATACTCTATATTCTTTCATATTAAAGAGAGATTTTTATGATATGCGGATAAGAGAAAGGACTGGAGGAATGTGCTTTTAACAAATAAAAAGTTGACAACAATGATAGGTGCAAGGCAAACAAGCCTCTACAGCAAACATAGCTTGATTATTGACAATAAGGAAAAGATCAAACATCTGAGTAATTAGATCCTGATGAACAAGAAAATCATTGCTTGAATATTATGAGATTGACATATACATTAATATAAAGGAAAATCTTCATATGGTAGCCAAGAGACAAGCCATTTGCAAGAGTTAGTTAATCAGGATCCTTAAATTGCTCCACAAAAAGACATGTTACTCTAGCATTAGTCATCCTGGACCAATCCCAAAAACAAGTACTTATTAAATATGGAGGAATGCCAAAAGTTCCAGTAATCATAAACTTTAGGAATGAGTTTGCAAGGAAAAGGAGAACAGACCTCAGGACCTAAAAATCGTTCATAACCAATATCACAGGAGTATGGTGCCCCTGTCTTCAGTCTAATGCCTCTCCATTGTTTGATGTACTTTTTAGGTTCTTTGTCATGTTTGTTGAACTCCTGAGATAATTACAAAATATGGTTAATATCAAATTACCATTGGAATGTCAGAACTTGTGAATTTCATCACAATATCTCATGCTGGATAAGAATCATGAGGTGAATAGTTGTTCCAAAATAACAATCCAATGAAAGCAAAATAACCTTGACAATATCAGAACAAGTATAACAGTACATCTCCTTGACTTTCCGAGCTGCTTCAAATGAGTCCTCTGGTGGAATTTTCTCTCCTCTTTCCTGCAAATAATGGCGTCAAAAGGCAAGGATGCATGATTACTGAATACTAATTATTTTACAATCTCCATATCCACAAATCCAAGATACACACACACACACATAATAACACCTATTAGAAGAGTTAACATTTGAAGTCCAGTGTTTGTGAGCCTATACAAGCAAAGCCATCTAGGTGAACAGATATAATGAACACAAAGATAATAGAATGCAAAAGCTTCAGAAGTTCAAAAAAAGAAGAAAGAAAGCAGAAAGACACTCTAATTGAGCTTGCCTCCAGAGAACAGATCTTGTTGTCAAATTAAAACTAGCATTTCTTCAAATGGCAACAAAACTTAAAATGATAAACTGCACATATATTAAATGGCATTGTGTTTCATCAAAGAAGATACCACAAAACCCAAATAACCATTGGAAGCATGCATGATACTGGCACATATAGGGACTGGGTGTTTGAAAGCACATGTATAAAAAGGAAGTGCATAAGTATATAAATCCAACCATAGATAAGGCTGAGTGATGCCAAGGAGTGTAGATAAATTTCTCATCCTTACATAATAATGATATCAAAGCACTATAGAGTCATGAAAAGAAAAATACCCGCATGAGCTGCTGTATGAAGAGAGTAACATCTTTTCCAGCTATAGGTATTGACTTAATGCTGCTCCCAATAACATAACCGTCTGCAACAGGAACAACATGCGTGGCCCCATCTCCAATATCCACTACCACACCTGTCATCTCACACTATAGAAAGCTGTAGGTCAATCTAAATGGAAGTGATCAAATAAAAGGATGATTAGCAAGACAAACAGTGCACATAATGCATGGTATAAATCTAAATACAAGATAGACCGGGTATAAAGCTATATACAAGATAGACCAGTTCTTTAAACTCTACAATCATGAAGTATTCAACATACCCCACAGCTCATGCCTGTATGATTAGCGATAGGTATATGCCTTCATCATAATTCTCTCTGATAACTAAAGATAAAAAGAATAAACAAATTTTAACTCATCAAAACTGTATATGACATGAACTATGTGCATTGGGGCGCAAATGAGTACAAAAGTAGAAATATTTGAGGAAGTTGGCAAAGACTTTTAAGCTCATAACAACTTCCTCCAAGCTTAATGTCTTTCAAATGTAAAGATTGGATAAATTTATAAATCTGTAAGCATTTGCAACAAACCACCATTGATTCTAAAATAACTGCAACAGTGTCTATTGTTAACACATTCTCAGATTCAACAACACCATAGATTGCTATTCTATAGAGAACTTAACACATTAAGTTAAAAAAAAAAATAGGTAGTTCAAAGTTCAAACTTTTCCCAGGACATTGACAACTTATAATTAATATTACAATGATTTCTCAATCAATAAATGGCTTTAAATCAATTGTTATTTGACTACTGAATACATAACCATCCAAGAACCAACATTCAAACTCACAATTCAAAGTTAAAAGGTTTAGTTTACAAAAATAAACAATAGCAATCATGAAGAATCAAGAAGCCCTAACTGATTCATCTAACATACTAGTAAATAATTAACCAAGACATATAATACCAGAAAACAACAGAATACTTCAGAAAATTAGTCACCAAGGACCAACCTTAGATGTAGTGTACCCAGCTGCTAAAGCAAGCACAGAATTCACAGCTATATAAAGCCCCGGAACGTTAAACGTCTCAAACATAATTTCACCCGTATATTCTCGATTCTCAGGAGCAGTAAGTGGACTCTCAGTCAACAAAAAATAATGATCCTCAGGATCACACCGTAAATAATTGAATATACATTGCTGCCAATACCGTTCCATAGCATCCCAGTTATCCACTTGACCATGCCTAATAGGATAGGTAAGGTTATAAGTATTACTCGATCGTGATTTCGCAACTGCTTCATCTCCAATGAAGAAATCAAGATCTGCCATTACCCCAGCTGAGTATTGAGCTAACCAATTTGATTTTGAAGAAGTTCTGGATTGATTTAGAAACGACTCGTTCACTGCTACTACTGTTGGTTGAATAAAACACGGCTCTACATTACCAGAAAATCCCATCTTTGTATACCTGCAAAAAAATACAAGCACATATTCAAATTCAATAATACTAATAAAATGGTCTGAAATGAAATATAAGTAGCGAATTTCATCAAACAGATCGTGAGCAACCAAGCAAGCAATTTACAGTTACATTCAGCTGCGATAATGAGAAGATAAACCGTACCCGGTGCCGTGGTCGATGACGACAGAGGGGCGAGAAGTGGGGTCCATCGGGAAGAAAAACAGAAGCTAGGAAGTTGTTTTTGGTTGTTGTGGCGGTGGACCTGCGAGCGAGATCCAAGAGAGACTTGAGAGCAAGGGATCATGGTCATGAAGGGCGCTTGAAGAAGCGCAAATAAGGAGAAGCGAACAACTCCCCTGATGGTTTTGACTTGACGCCAACAACAAACTTGGATCCCGACAGAAAGCAGCGACGTTTCAACAGTATTAGCTTCTTGAAAGAATAGCTATCTTTGGCGGTACGCAAACTCAATAATCCAACATTACAACCCATTTCAAAACTCCATTTCACCAAAAATTCTCATCGTTTTATCGTAAAAAAACAAAATCTTCTTCTTTTTTCTCTCTCAGATTGAGAATTTTGTTGGCAATCAAACTGTAGAAAGAAAAGACAAGGCGACAACCTCCTCCTTTCTTTGATTGGAGAAATTTAGAATTTTGGGACCCACGTACCTTAGGGGTAATAATTGGGTGTGACCGTTGCACTGGGGGAAAGACAAAATTTGAAAAGGTCGTCCGTTCGATGGTCCTGACTATTGAGAGAACGAATGACATCAATTTAGAAAATGACGTTTTAAGATGTGTGGCACTGATGTGTAGACTTTTAGTTCCATCGTAGGACTTAGCGTGCCTGATGACTGCTCAAGTTTTAGTGATCTGTTGGGTAGACCGCGTGGTTTTTTTATTTTTACCAGCGATGTTAACTGATCTGGTGGGGTGGGTTTTTTTTTATCGAATTCAATTAAATTTTAAAAAATTAATATTTAAATTTGATTTGATTTAATTTGTATACATATAAAATTATAATTAACTCAATTTAAAATTAATTTAATATAATAATCATAAAATATTATTTTTAATATTATATCTTAATTAAATATGAATATAGTATTTTTATTAAATTAAAATATTGTATAATAATTTTATTAATATAATATATAAATATAAAATTAAAAAAATAAATATATATATTAAATCGAGTCAATAGATTTATTTAAAATTTGATTTTATTTCTAAAAAAAAATCGATTTAATCTAACTTTAAAAAAAAAAACTTATAAAAATAAAAAATTGACGAGTTCGGATATTATTACCGACTCTAATTTTAACATTGTCAACCTTCACTGTTTCAGTGCATGATTTGGCTTCATTTTTCATATGATAATTTATGAGTTTTGTTTAACTTTAAACCAATATCGAACTGACACGTCTCATTTTTATATAATAATTTTTTATTGAATTGAACACAAACAATTTTAAAAATAAAAAAATAAATTATGAATATAAATTTGTTGGTATATATTCTTATGTGGTCGCAATCTAATGGGTGATTGGTTGCCCTTTTTCTTTTATTTTTTAAACAACATAGGACATTTCCCAACATGGTTCAGGTTCAACTTCGAAAAGCAATGTCAATGGTAAAATGAGGTTGTTCCTAAATGGTATTATGTTTTACCCTTTGAAAAAAATATATAAAAGCAATTTTTCTTTCACAAGTCATTTTATTTTAATGTGATTGTAAAGTCGAAGAAAAGGTTTTGCAGTCATAGTTTTTGGCTACAAGCTTGAATTGTGTTTGCTTATTGGTTGTAGGATTTTTATGAAGGCAACGACTGGACATTCCGGATCTGGTACGATAAAGACAGCTCAACCCTCACAATGATCATCAGCCTTTTCAATTGAGGGCAAATTGTCAATTTGGATGAATATATTTTTTTTTCTTTGAATTTTCAACTAAAAAAGAAAAAAAAAATAATGGATTTCGATTTTTAAAGACATGTTTAGATAGGCAATACGATGAAATGAGGCTTTTAGTTTTTACTTCCCGCTATACTGCATTTTTAATTCATGTATCTTCTTTATAACTTCTTGTAACTGCACCCCTTTCCATAAGTAATCTTCGTTTCCATGTCATTTCGAAAACGTTTCCTTTCGAGCTCCGATCGGGTCTCGCATGCCATCAATCCGATCGATTCTCCACAAAAGCTTCAACTCTAGCTCAGCTGCTACTTCTCTTTGTCTCCGGCATTATCTGATCGATGTCGTTTTGGTGAATGCAAGGTTCGGCTGTTTTTATCCGAAAAGAAATGAATCCTCTGTGCTGCATTGCTCTTTTGGCCATCGATCGTGACCGGGCCAACGCAGTTGTAATCAAATCGGGTCCTAAATGCCAGCTAAGCATCGAAACTTCTATCAGAGCCGTTAACTATTCTTCCAAACCAAGCTTCTCCTCTCAAGTCTCCTCCATCAACGCCGACAGCGACAAATCCTCGCCGTCTATAACGAATCACGCCTCGGTGGCGAGCCAATCATAGGAGAAGTTACCGCCGGGATCCTGTACAAATGGGTGAATTATAGCAAAGGATTGAGTTTGCGTTGGTTCGTGTTACTAGCCTTTTACACGATTCTTTTGTCCATTGTCGTGTCAACAAATCATCCAAATGCAATTTCAGTCATCCCCTTTGAGTGGCACCACTCTGTAAAAGCTCCAACAAGAAAGTACATGGAAACTAGCCTGCTTTACTCAAGCATAACACTCTCAAAGCTCTTCCTTTAAAAAAAAAAAAAGATTCCCATCAGAATGCTAAAACACACTTCAATAGGAAGAAAAGAAAAAAGAGAGAAGGAAAAACACATTTCAAGAGAAGGGAAGACATGCCCTAATTCATATCTTTGGTTCAATAATGAATATATGTCTTACTACCCTCCGTTGCTTTAGTTATCTTTTAGAAAATTGGTTTCTAACAATATATTTTATTTTATTTTTGGGGGAAAAATTACTGATTTTGGAAACTGGTGCACAGGTTTCTTCAGTTCGTGCAAGCAAGTCTGATGATAAAAGGTTTACCATACTCACAGGCACAAAGACTCTTCATTAGGGTTGTGTGTCAAGAGAGGACAGAACTGCTTGGATTGAGGCATTGCTGGATGCTAAAGATCTCTTCCCTAGAGTGTTGACAAGTAATGATTTTCAACCTTCTGAGAATGTTGTCATCTCAAACGATAAGCTAAGGTCACGTTTATTACAGGAAGGCATTGGCGAGGCAGTCATTAATGGTTTTAGAACTTTCTCAGACGCAAAATCAGCTAAGGCTCTTCAATGCAAGCATATTAAGGAAATGTTTGATGGATAAAATGATGAATGGGATAGGATGATAATCATCCTATATTATGTTTGATTTGCATCTCAAGGATTGCATCTAAACAAACATCTCCTTTATTTTTTAACATTGATATTTGTAATTTTTACTCAAATATCCAGAGCCATTTTCCCCATTTCTCTGTTGTCGTTTTATATTCAGTTTTGTTTACTTGTCTCATAATATTACATTAATCTTCTCTAGAATATGAAGAAAGTCAACACAAAAAAAGTTTTGCGTTTGAGGTGTCATTTCTACCTTCTAATTTGTTGGCAAACGGAGAAAACGCAGCTGGAAACTACTGTAGTAGATGAAACAAAGGAACGTGAGTCATATTGTGGACAAGGAAAAAGATTTAGTGGTTAGTTTTGCTTTTAATTGTAATAAACAATTTCTTTTTAATTATTAATCTTGCTCTCCCTCCCCCTCCTCTCTTCACTATTCTTTTAATCATTAACTGATATTGTGTGTGTAGCATTGGTTAAGTATTGCAGAGTTATTTATGGGCAAATTACGTTTCATAATTTTATGGGCAAACTTGATTGGAAGGCCTAGGTTACATGTTTGTAACCTGCCATTAAATAATTGCTTGCTTGACTGCAGGAAAATTTAGTTTACTCTAGAAAGAGGCTTTTGTTAGGAAAAGGTTTCCTGAGAAGATTCTGTGCCTTAGCTAGTGTTCTATAGATTTTGAAGTTGAACAACTCTCCCGCATTCCTCATGTTGCAGATTTCTACTCTGTCATGTCACAGGGCAGTCTGATGTGGATAATGAAAGTCAAGATGGTGCAGATGTTTGAACAGATGAAGATGGAATATATTTTGATACAAATGACTTTTTCTCTTCAGAAGCTTTAAAAAGTGCTTCCTATCGGTGTAGGGAAACATGAAATGGCCGTTTATATGATAAAGATGCTTTATTTTCTGATAGTTTGTGCAGGCCTGAAAAGGAAATCAGGATCCTTCAACATCCTTAATACCTTATGTCAAAAGGAGGGATAATCTGCCAGAACCATAGGAGAAAGAGAAGCCAGTTGGCTTGTGGTCTATTATCAAGGACAATATGGGAAAGGATTTAGCTGGGATCTGTCCTGTCTATTTTAATGAGCCACTCTCTTCACTGCAGAAATGCTTTGAGGATTTGGAGTATTTATGCTTGGTTGATTGAGCCTTGGAATTGGGAAAGCAGGTCGGGTCCTCAGTTCTGCTTTCTTTTGTGGCAAAGAAGTTTTAAAGCATGATCTGCTAGTTTCATTTTAATCCAGGTAGATTATGTACTGGCCTCAGCCTTATCTAGCTCAGCATATTAGAAGTTGCCAATACACTTCTTAGGCTTTTAGATTTCTTGGGTTTTTGAAGTCTGTCTCCTTTATCATTAGCAGTTGTTTCGCAACCTTTGCTAATTATTGTGTATCATCGACTCTCAAACTATTTGTTTCTACTCTAACCCAAATAAAAAATAAATAAAGAGAAGGAGAAAACAGTGGAGAAAAAGAAAGGAAGAAGCAAAGAAATAATGGGAAGATCCTTTTTTTTCCCGTTAGATATCTCTTATGTGACAAGATTTCTAGATATGCACCATTATTTGCTTTTATCTCTTTTTCTTTGAGTTGGCTTTGTCAGGAAACTTGCTGTATACATAACCCTGAGCCTTGGTATGGAAGCTTGATTTTCCCATCCTTGATTGCTTCTATGAAATATTTTAGGATTTCAATGCTTTCATTGGTTTTTAGGAGGCAACCTTCTACTGCCTATGCGGGTTGTTTTTATTTGTCTTTGCTATTTATTAAATGATGCTCTCCTTCAACCATTCCTTCTTGCAGTAAACATTAAATTAGATGCTGGCGTTTGGGTTCTGTGACAGTTTTCTAACTTGTCCAGAAATAAAGTCTTGTTTATCTTTTTTGCTGCTACATGTTTAAAGGTTGCCATGGTGTTTAACTTTCATTCTTAGGTTCTTGGCATGAGGAATTCATAGCAGTTTTTTAATGAGTTTATTTACGTTATAATTTATTGCCAGTGATTGATGAATTGTTGCAGGAAAATCACTTGATGAGAATACTACATGTTGCAGCTTTTGCTATATCTGGCTATGCATTGACAGAAGGTCGACAGTGCAAACCTTTCAATCCTCTTCTTGGAGAGACCTATGACGCTGACCATCCAGATAAAGGACTTCCTTTTTTCCCTGAAAAGGTATACTAATCTTCACACCTAAGCTCTACAATATGCTGGACTAACTGGTCCTGGGCTGAATTAATGGAAAAACTCAGAAGCCTTTCTGTTAGCTCCTTCTTGTTGAAATAAGCCAAGGGGTAGTCGTATGACATATTCGATCTAACAATTGCTTTGACAAGCTGCTTACGTTCAGATGAGTCACCACCCAATGATTGTTGCTTGTCACCGTGAGGGTAGAGGATGGAAATTCTGGGCAAACTTCAATCTCAATGGACAATTTTTGGGACGATCCGTTCAACTTGATCCTGTTGGTGTTCTAACCTTGCAGTTTGAGGATGGAGAGACTTTTCAGTGGAGCAAAGTTACCACTTCCACGTACAATATTATTCTCGGTAAAATCTATTGTGATCACTATGGCACCATGCACATCAAGGGCAGTGGCAATTGCTCTTGCAAGCTCAAGTTCAAGAAGCAATCTATCATAGACCGAAATCCCCATCAGGTCATATATTATACTCCCTAATGAATGGGCAAAACAAGCTTCATCAAGTATTTTCCATAGTTTACCATAGTTTCTGTTTATGGTGGACAAGCTCATATTTGATTTGTTGCATTAGCAGGAAGGTCCACTCTTCTAAAATACCTCTAACTTAGAAGCAGTTCTAAACAATAATTCATATGTTGATTTACATTGTTATTCTATTTGCTTCTATCCCTAAAATATTAGAAATTTTGAGTTGAAAAGGTTTTAGTTGGCCAAAAAAATACAGAATTTTCGTAAAATGATACTGAAAGCAAATTTGGTGCTCTGTTTTGTGCCAAAGTGGCTCACAGTTCTTTGAAAACCTTGTTGACATAATCAAAATGAGAAACTCAAGTCCACTGTAATGATTATAATTATAGGAAAGAATATATTTATGGTTTCTCTCAATAATTTCAGGTTCATAGATTTGTGCAAGACAATAGGACAGGTGAGAAGGTGGCCATGTTGGTGGGCAAATGGGATGGGGCAATGTATTATGTACTGGGAGATCCAACTATGAAGCCAAAAGGGTATGATCCAATGAAAGAAGCTGTGTTACTGTGAAAAGAGACAAATCTGTTACTAAGACAAGATATAATCTTACCCATTTTGCAATATCCTTAAAAGAATTGACTCATAGTTTTATTGGAGAAATTGCCTCTGACAGACTCAAGACTGAGGCCAGACCTGGGACAGCTGGAGAATGGAGAATCTGAAATGGTAAATGCAGAAAAGCTGAGGTTGGAACAGTTACAGAAACTGGTATATGCTTTATGCTGCTTATTTTTGAGTTCAATGGGTAATGGCTATAGGCTCTGAGCCTAACATAGAATGATCCTCAAACATTAGTAGTGTGATTAAGGATCTCAAACAAGCCCCATTTGAATCTCTGGTGTAATCTATTATCATTGTGCTCTGTTATTTAAGGAGGTAAAGAGCTTTAATTAGATTCTCTGTACTTCTTACTTATTTGATTTGATATATAAATTTTATCGTACTGTGATTCAGGCAAGGAAATTACAAGAGAGAGGATGGCATCCAAGATGGTTTCGGAAGGATGAAGACGGTTGTTATCATTATATCAGAGGATACTGGCAAGCAAGAGAGACAAGGAATTGGGATGGAATCCCTGATATATTTGGCCAGAATAGTGGTTCACCTTCGTGTTTGGTTGAAGAGTAAGCTGTCTTTTGGTTCTCTGCTTGCTCGGCTATATTTTATCTATTATTTATTTCGTTTTCGCCTCGCATTTTATGTCTGTGCCAGGACTCATGAATCTAGATGTAGCTCAAGTGATAAATGAGCTTTACTTGGAATTTGCGGTGTCAAGGTGCTTTTATGTTGTTCTGTAGCTAGGTACCTGTCATCAGGTGCGCTTCCTCTGGGCAGTAATCCTTGAAAACTCCAAGAGATCTGCATATTTTTCCCTTTACTTTTTATCAAAAGCGTGGGAACTACCCTAAAAGGTAAAAATCTTGGTCTGGGATAATCTAATTGGTTTTGATTCCAGAAACGGCCTGATGCTTAGATATTGATGATTGATCCAGGTAAATGCATCTAAAATTGGACTTAATTAAAAAACAAGAGTAAAAAGGAGAGGCACAGCCCTTCACATTCCATTGGACCGATAGTATAAATTATGACAAATATGCATTACAACAGTAACTTAAAAGATTGCAACATCTTACACGTCGAGGAAAGGAGAAAAAAATTAATGACACTCTTCTCTCCAGTTTACGCCATAATAACATTATGCTCCTATAGTGACACGAGAATTACAGATGAAATTTAAAAAACACCAAATCTCGATCACTTGCTTTAGTGGTTAGTGCATAAAATAAGCTTTGGACCCGTTTGCTGTGTTTTGTGTAATTGTATATGTGCGTTCATTATTTCCAAGCCTTCTTCCCACGGAACTGTTTGCCAGAACGTTGCCTCTTACTTTTCTCTTGTCGAGATCTTTGAGCCTTGGCCTTCTTTGCAGCTAAAGGCATATACTTCTTGTGTTCTTTCTGACGGTTGCTTAAACCACCCGTCTGTTCACAACATTATATAAGAATGAATGAAACATGACAAAGAAAGTACAAGAAGGATCCAACCAGTGGCACCATTTAGATGCATTTTAATTGCAGCAAAGACTCAATCTATTAAGGTAAACTAAGATTCTCAAACTAAGCAAAAGTTGAAAAAGGGGAAACATATTCAATTACTAACATCCTGTAAAGTGGCCTATAAATTGTAAAAGCAACAAGAATACCTTTTTCTGTTTTACAGCGGTTCGAGCCTGGTACTGCACTCTGTCCTCCCTTCCTGCCTTTACTAATGCCAGTCTTTCCTCCTTGTTAAGCTTAAGTCGAACATGGGCCTTAAGCACATATAAAAACATCACGAATTTATGTTCTTAGGACCAGTCACTATTCTTAGGAAAAGAGTACTTAGCAGTAAAGAAAGAGAAGACATACTTCAAGCTTTGCAGGATCCACTCGCTTAAAACTCAGTTGATCAGAACTTGGAATCTTAAACCCTTGTTGAGCCAAAGCAGTTTTTGCTTCCCGCTTAGCCTAATAACATAAATAAAAAACCATAAAAAAGTAAATGATTTTACAAGGTCCAAACTAGTCTATCAAAGTATATTTAAAGCAATTACAAATTAACTTCTAGATCTCCACAAGGTCACACCTTTGGGATCAACTTGAGCTTAGATCTGTTTGAAAAAATTTAACATACCTTAAGTTCCTTGATCCTTCGGAAATGCTCATCAGAAAGAATACCATCTGTTGAGTCTGACAAAACATGGCTCATCTTTGCTTCTGCCAACCTCTTTAAAGCTCGAAGGCTAGTATCAGCAGCAATAAGTTGTCCCTCAAAGTCAGACAATTTTCTCTTTCTTGCTTTTGACTTTTTATCTTCATTTTCACCATCTCCAGGGCGGTCACCTCGTCTAGAACCACTAACTTCTTCATAGTCATCATTCTCCTCAGCTTCCACCTCCTCTGTCTCAACCTTGTCCTCATCGTCATTGTCCTCCTCCTCCTCCTCATCAATATCACTCTCATCCTTGTCAATACTATCATTCTCATCATCATCATCCACTATATCCTCATCCTCACTTCCATCATCTGCAGTATACTGGCCTTCTTCATCATCACTGTTTTCTTTGCCATCAACAGAATTATTAGATGCAGCCTCACCACTACTTTCATCCCCACTGCCATCAATTTCATCTTCATGTTCCAATAATTCAATGTCAGGAACATTGCTAGGGACATTGACCTCTCCATACGCCCTTGGTCTTGCCTTAGGGTCCACCGGGCGTCCACGATCCTTCTTAACCAGCAGTGAAGGGCAAACCTGACAATAAAACAAGTGGAGAAATATGCAATCAAGGTATTTGAAGAAGACAAGAAATCAGACATTTAGAGAAGCAGGGATGTGGATACAAAAAAGTATGGAAAGATAATGGTACACCTCTCTAAACAAAGCAATAAGTGAGCGTGCTGCGGCTGAGACTGCCTTCTCATGTGATTTTTTATACAATGCGAGATCTTGAAGCAAATCTTCAGTCATCAACTAGTACCAGGAAACAAATGATTGTTTTAGCAGATTCTAAGTAATATAGTATGCATAAGTGAATGCACTAATGAAAAAAACCAGTAACTCATAGCAATTAATCCACTTTAACAGAAGCACCACAAATATATCAGAAAACATTTTGAAGGAATTTTTTGAAGGATGGATGTTAGGTTTTGTGTGTCTGTGTCATAGGGATGGGGGGAGCAGTTGTGCAGGTTGGTGGATTCAGAAAGCAAATGACATAGATAGTTACCAATGGCATGCGCAAACATATTTCCCTTATCACGTTCAGTCCAACGGCAATGGCCTAGAACATAAAGCAACAATTTAATCAACCAGTAACAAAAAAGATGATATATAAAGCAGCTTTTAAGTCATAAGCAAACCTCTGGACGTGAACGATCATGTACAAATTGATTTACTATTTGTTTGAATAATGGCTCAATTGCATCAGGAGGAACCTGCTTAAACAAGATTGAATTGGTGGCAGGAAACTAGAGAAAAGTTTAAGAAAAAAGAGAATCAAAAAGCCTGTAGTTAGAACAGACCATTCAAACAATCAAATGGAAAACCATACCATATCATGACAGGCCTGAACTGCTGCTGCAAGTAAATTAGTGATATCTTTTTGATGAGGCTGCAGCAAAGAATATAATCAGCTCCTATTAACCAAGGAAATTACATTTTGATTAAAAAGAAACACTTAAATAAAGATAGCATACCTGAACATATCTCTGAAGGAAAGGGTAAAAATTTAATAATATCAGCCGGTGAAGCCCAACTGTTCTAGAAATCACTTTCAACATCATCATTTTAACCTGAAGTTAAACAAAGGAGGAGACTCAAAATTAATGACACAATCTAATATGAGTTAATTAATGAGTGAAAGCACAATAAAAATATAAACCTAACCTAAAACTATTATAACCAGCAGTTAGACAATCAATGTTATGGAACAGAGTTTATTTGAAATACAAAAACTACACAGTCAGGTAGGATATAGGAAATAAAATCAGTATGACCGCCATAGAAGATATTATAAATCACAGAGGCAGAGCAAAATCCGCCAATTATAGACATCAGGAAAAGCATTCACCTCAAATCGTTCATTGCAGGTTTGAAGGCAAGAAAATAGCTTTTCTACAAACCCCTGTGTGCAAAACAGAATTTAAAGCTTTCTATAAAAGAAAATTACATCAAATGGAACTTAATTAAATGTCTAAAGAGGGCAAAACCTGTGCATCTTTTAGATGGTTAAGGGGTGAATAATAACTAGAAGTGCTACTTTCTGATGACATGCGTTGCTGCCTTTTCATGCTTCGAATAGCACGTTGTAGTTTTGCCTTCTTTTTCTTCTTGCTAGCAGCTGTACCTTTATGGTGTGCCTGAAAATTTAATACAACTTCATTAAGACCAACAACACATCTCATAAAAATTGCAAGCAATTGGCGTTCCTTAAAGAAAAACACCTGACACAAACTGCAGGGAATTGAAATTCCATACATCAGCAATATATATAATTTTTTTTTGAATGACCTAAAACTTATTTATATCATCATAAACCAACATAAGCTAAAAACATTTTAAGCATATCACCCCTGGTAGAATCAAGGAAACTTCGCCTAGCTGGCACTAATAACATACAAGAGTGGTTAAAAGAGAAAAACAGAAAAAGGAATAGGATGCAAGGAACCTTGTAGACGGCCTCTTTGTTGATGACAACTTGAGGTGTTTGCGTCGTTTCATCTTCACCACTTGAAGCATCACTATCCTCATCATCATTTTCAATCTTCTCAAAATCAAGGAGAAACGAAAGTGCACCAATCATTATTCTGCAAAATTTGAATACAGAAAATGTACTCACTTGAACTCAGCAGCATAAACAGCAGATATTATCAACCATACAAAAATCACAAATACCTCGATGATGAATGAAAACATGCCATACAAATTGCATTTGCTGTTCTGTCATCAAACCAAACCTTTCTTCGATGAAGTTCACATAAGGTAATAAGAGACCTTTTTGCTCTTGCTTCATCTTCTTGCTATAAAACACATGGAAGACATAATTTTTAAAAAAAATCCAACATTTTTACAACAGGAAACCTCCAATTCAAATGACATTGTTTAAAAACCTGCAATAATGCAAATAAGATATTCTGGAGGGCGCGATTCTTAGCCTCGTTCTTATGATTCTTATTCATTCTTCTAATACTGTGCACAACATGAGAAAATGCTAATTTCCTCAAATTCCTATCTCCTAGCGTCTGCAACTCCATGAACAATGGTAGGGTGTCTTTAACATCAATAATCTGCCCAAAACAAAAAAGTCAACATTTCAAGTAAAATTCAGAGCATTCAACAATAACAACCAAAAAGTTTTCACCCTTTGAAATTAATAACAACAAAAAACTTCAAGTTACTCCTTTTCCAAGTTACCTTCCGATTAACTAGGAGAACGAGGGCTTGGGAGACGTGGAACCTAAGTCCCGAGGGAAGAGTCCTCGCTGATACTTTGAGAAAAGCAGCGAGATCGGAAGGGAACTCGGCAAGCTGCTTGGGATAAAACGGCGTAACGTGGGCCAAGAACATGGCGCGATCACTGAGGTCCTTGGCCACGGTTGGGTCCGCACCGACGCCGGTGATGGAGGAGAAGTTGAGAGCCGCTTGCTGCTGGAAGAGCTCAAGAGCGGAGTTGAATTGACTGTGGATAAGATGGAGCTCCGTTTCGTAGCCTTCCGGGTCAGTTTTCATTTTGGATTGGAGAGAAGGCAGGCTCAGCTTCTCGGAGCTCCGACCCGATGCGGAGAGAGGCGCCGGCGTGACACCTGCGAGTAAAACCATTGCTTGAAGTTAATATTTCATTCTCTGTTTCTAGGGTTTTCGGATCAGAAGGTAAACCCCCAAATAATTTATAGATAATAGGAGTTTGACACGTAACATCCTAAACAAATCTTTTTTGTAACTTTTTTTTTCGTAGGGGGAAAATTACAAACAAACCCAGCATAAAGAGGCCTCCTGGAATGAAAATAATAATCTATTTGAATAAGATGGTAAAATTAATTTTGATGAAATTAAAAATAATAATAAAAAAATTAATTATTATAATAATAAATTAAAATTAATGATAAAAAATATACTTAAATGTAAAAATAATGATAACTGTAAAATGAATTGCAATGAAAAAAATTATCATTAAGACATCATATTAAAATTTATATATAATAGTAAATTTAAATCATTAATATTTATAAAATTAATAAATAATAAAAAATTTAAAAAGTTATTTTATAGTAAATAATAATTATATTAATAAATAATTAAAATTTAATAATAATAATAATTAAAAAATTATTTAAAAAATTTTACATTAGTATACTTTTAAAAAAATAAAAAAGAAAAATGCTTAAATTATAAGGAGATGATTGTTCCAACGTTGTAAACATCCAAATTTATCCAAAAAAAATAAATTGTGATTTATTTTTGAGTTTTGTTACATGTTTTAATTTAAGCCCATTTTGACATATGGATTAGACTTATTTCATGTCGAGCTTTGATGTGTTTTATTTTATGTAGGCTCGAAACTAATTTTGAATTATGATTAAATGATTTAGGCTTAAGATTTCAAAACCCAATAGATATCCAAATTCAATTGTTAAACCTAAGTTATTTTTATTAGGATAAATTAAGTGGTCTTAAAATTTATTAATAATAATAATAATAAAAAAAAAAAAATAAATAATAAAAGAAAGGCAAGCCAATACTAAAGCTCAACATGGTCATCAACCTTCTCTTATTTCCAGAAATCGTTGACTCCAATTGGTGCATCATTTTTATCTTTTCAATTTTCACCTCATGTTTTACTCGTTAATTCTAGCACATCCATCAAGCTTTCCCATTATCTCAAAAACCAGCATTGCACAATTCTCATTTCATGCAATCCTTGCTTTTCCTCATGTTTTACTCTATTTTACCCTAGTATAATTTGATTAAAACTTCCTACAGCATCACATTGTTACAACGCTACAAAAATTAAATTTTATTATCTCGTGGTGCTAAAGGGAATAACACAAAAAGAGGTGGCCATCTTTGACAAAAAGGGATCGATTTTTTCCTTCATTTGGACCATTTTCCCATTAAACCTGGAATGTAAACACTACCCAAGCTCGGACCTCCACACTTTCGAACACCACCCATCCCATTACCAAGCACCAAAACTAGCCCCATACCCAAATCACTCCCACGGCCAAGCACTAGAACCTGCCTTATACCTAAATCATACCACTTAAGCAACCACTTGCCAAGCTTTTAAGCCACCACCAGCAAAACACTCCAGCACTATCAAAAATCACACCATCGCCACCACATACCCATGTTACCAACACTTAAAAACCCAAATGACAAAGCAACCATAAACCACCCAAACTCCCTAATGTCGCGTGCTCCTTCACTTGCTACAGAAGCCAAACACCCATTACCATCCTAAACACTACCATCCAAAAAGAAACCTAAGCTTTAAAAGAAAAAAAAAAACTAAAAGACAAAAAAAGAACCACTACCCTTAGAATGGGGTCCCAGTGCCATAAACCACCACTATTAACACCCAAAAGAACAGATAAAAAAAACCAACAAAGAAAGTAAAAAAAAAAAGGTTTTAACCGAAACTTCGCAAGTCAAATTTAGGTTGCCTAAGGTTTTTCTAGCAAAAAGTAGTTTGGATCAGCAAAAAGGGGGTCAAGAGGAGTATTTTGATGGCTTCTAGTTTTTTTTATGACCGACATTAGCAACCGATGACTTTTGATGGCAGTCAGCATGGTGGCATAAAGTTGGAACTTGGACGACGACAGAGGCTTTGGAACTTTTCTAGAAGCTTGGAAGTTTTTTTTATGAAAGAGGAAGGAGATGTTTTTTAAAAATTAGATTTTTATATAACAATATAAAAGAAAAACAAAATAATGTTGTTTAAGGAGTGAAGATCCACGCACTGATCTGACTTGACTTGAGATTCCCTTTAAGTTGAATTGACCTAAATCTGTTCAAATCGTTACGAACCGCACTAAACCGTGCTAGACCGCAAAAAACTATACTAAATTGGCTGAACCGATCGTTGGACTGCTAATTGTTTTGACAAAGAGGCATTTTTATATTTTATATTTATTTTTTTTTCTCATTTTCTTGCTCAATTTTTTTTATATCTCTATTATTTCATTTTTATTTTTTATGCTATTTTTTTATGTTGTTATGTGTGAATTTTTTATAGATAACTAAAATAAATTAAAAATGCTTAGGAATAATAAAAGCTTTAGGCTAATTATTATTATTATTATTATTACTATTATTTTTTAAATAAACAATAAAAAATAGTTTTAGACAAAAGTTGTGTTGCCATTCTTTAAAATATTCCTAAAAATAAAAATAATAAAAAAATAAGAAATGAAAAGCTAAAATATAATAGATAATAAATAAAAAAAAAGTAAAAATAATAGTAAAATTTCTTTGGCTTTTATTTTTTTCATTTATATTTTGAAAAAATGGGAATGGTGAAAATAAATAGAAAATAATAATAAAATAGAATGATAAGAAAGAAAAATTTTAAATCCCTACCTAAATATTTGAGGGAATAAAAATTGATTTTTTTTTTAAAATAATTTCGCCTAGATGTTAGAAAATTTTTAATAATGAAAATAAATAATAAATAACAATAATAATAAATTTTTATGAAAAAGGAAATATAAAAAAATACATAAAAATTAATTTTTGAAAATCATAAAAGCAAGCTTAATTCGAAAATTTGACTTGATATTATAGAATTTTAGAGATGTTCATATTTTTTTCAAAACTACTAAACCTTCAAGATATCAAAACCCTAAAATCTCAACATCGCAAGAATTTAAATCCCTAAAACTTCGAAACCTTAAAATTCAAAGCCCTAAAATCTTCAAAACCCTAAAACCTTAAAACCCTCAAAACTTTAAAATCGTTAAACCCTAAAACCCTAAAATGCTAAAACATTAAAACACTAAATCTTAAAATCCTGAAACCTTAAAACTCAAAAATCCTAAAACCTTGAAATCCTAAAAGGAAACCCTAAATACTAACAAATCCACCAAGACCCTAATGTAACCTAAACTCTAAATTCAACTCACAACCACAAATCATTGCCATAAAAAAAAAAAAAAAACCATTCAAACACTAAAAACCTCAACCTAAGCCCATACCCAAAACTAACCTAAAATTTTGAGGATACGTATGAAAATCTCATAAGAAGTAGTTTATTCCTGAATGCCATTTAGAAAATGGAGTATTCAAAAAATTTTATTTCATTAAGTTTTTTCATATGAGTCCTTAACTCGCAATAATAATGAGATTAAACAAAAGAGTAAAAAAATATATATCACTAAAAATGGAACCTTAAATATAAATAGTTGTATCAAAATCTACCTAAATGTTGGAGAGTCAGGGTGATCTCGTTATATCTAAAGGCCTAATTTCAAAATTGCATTTCATCATTGTACATAACATCTATGGGCATACATGCATTTGTTTATTATTGTTTGTAGTCATTTTGCATGTTTATACCTTTAATTATCATTTGCTAGCTAATTGTACCATCATTAGTTTTTTCGCATAAAAATGTATTTTTTTTAATGTAGTTTAAAAATGTGGAATCATAAAAGAAAACAAAAAATAATATTCTAAGCGAAATAATTCTTAGCACTTTGCCTAGATGTTGGAGAGTCACGAATAATTATCTTCAACAAAGAATGTTATTTTCATTTTTAAGGAATATTATAATAAATCTTAGATGAAAAGAACTATCTTTAAATTCTATCTAGATGTTAGAGGGTTTTAAGGTAATTCTTTAACCTAAAGATTTTCTATAATATTCCTAAAAAAAGACTAATAAAATTGATTTTCTTTTTCAAAAAATGAAAAGAATTATTATTAAATTTTAAACCGAAACCATTTTATCCAACCCCAAAGATAAGGCATGATTAATTGGTACCAATTTTCATGAGGCTTATGGGGGTGCTAATTCTTCCTTATGCGTAACTGACTCCTGAATCTAATTTCATTTTCGTAGGCTGAAAATTATCTTTTTAATAAATTTTAAACTCATTTTTATTGTTTTATTAAAAAGATAAACTTTTTAGGTTGCCAATCACATCCAATAAAAAATATTGGTAATGACATCTTTTGTTTTTCATGATTTCCTAAAACTTTTCATCTAGTGGTCCCAAAATCGTTATGATAGCTTAGTGACTCCATTGAGGATGTCATTTTTTTTAGATTCAAGCTAAAAATTAATCTTATGTTACCCGAATTGTTGGATTTTACAGTTGATATTTAATTTTAATTCCCTTCATTTTAATTTTGCATGTTAGCATTTTATCTTGATTTTATCATTTGTTTGTCTCTTATATAGCTTGATTAATATATCTTTTTACACATATTTTACATATTCACTCATACGTATGAGCTCTAAACCTAAGCTCTATTTTTTTTTTATAAGGAAGTAAAGTAGTTATATTCTTGTAAGGTAATAACTTTTGTATTTGCTAGCAAAATATTTCTACTCAGATTGAACCTTTCAGTTAATAGCCTACAATTGGTAAGAATCAGAGTACCTTACTGGTCTGTAATGGACAATAATATGAGGAATAGTCTAGGAACCTTTAGACCTATAAATCCTAACCCAACATATTGTAAGCCGTAATGAGCCAACTTAGGATAAAGCTATGTCATCTTTTTTAAAAAAATTACCTAAAGTTAAGGCACTATGTATATTCTATTTTGTTATATGGTACGCTTGATTATTTATTTATTTATTTATTTATTTTACTAACATTACTGACCTATTTAATTCTTTTGTTGCCTTTAATTTTGCTATGTGCACCATATAGGCATCAT